GTCGTCTTTGCTTTCCTCCGTTTCCGCTTGTCCTCCTCGCAGCCCTTGTAGTAACCGTCTCCCCAGCCGAGAATGGAAGCACCGAAGCCAACATCGACGGAGGATTGCCAGAAGATGGCGTATGTCCAGCTTTCCCTTGCTCCTTCGATTAGCATCTGGAGGCGGTGTTGTAAGGTTTCCTGGTTGAAGTACTCCGGTACGCCGCCTGGAGCAGAGGATAAAGTGGGGATATGTGTCTCCGATGCCGGCGCCGGCGTCCAGGGAAAGATCTGGACGTCTGAAGCCATGAAGGCTTCCATCATTGAGGCGTTATCGTCGGTCCAAAGGTTCATCGCGGCAGCATGAAAGAGATAATTCGAGAGTCGGCGGCCCTGAGCTGGGGTGAGCAAAAGAGGTGCAGAAAATGGTGGAAGAAAAGCCGCTGAATGTGAAGAGTACGAAAGGGCTGGGAGGATGCGGCAGGGAAAGTTGTGGCCTTTAGGAGTTTAATGGGCAAAAGTGATCGTGGTTTTGGAGTAATTTTCTTTTTTTTAGGGGCATTGTCATCCGTGCTCGAAGTTTATGATGCCTCACAAGACATTTAAATTTAAATTTTTATATTCATAGTGCTTGAACACATTAATATCATATAAAAATATCATCATTTTAATTTTTTAAAAATAAAATATTTTTATTTTCATACATAAATAAGATGCGTGCTAAATTTGTAATTTAAATGTTATATATAATGTTATGGAAATTGGATAGGACCAGACCAGCCAATTCAATATGTCACACCGTGAAGTGTCTATTTATCGATCTAGTTATCTAATTAAATGGTCTAGGAGAGAAATCATGATAAAATCGGCTGAAAAAGAGGTCAAATCATTGGACCATGGAACCAACCACAGTTTCGTAAAATTGCTTGGTTATGTTTTTGCTCAATCATAACTGTTAGACTTTGAATCAAACAATTTTTTTTTTAATTTTTTGGCTAATTAGTTTTAGATTTCGGTCTAGGGGGGTTGATTTTGAGATGGACTGAGGGGAAGGCGTGAAGCACGGTGAGGAGAGATGTGGGCTAGCTTGGAGAGCAACGACAGAATCACAATGTAAAGTGATGGAGGTCCTCCAAAAACTCCCATATTTCTCCATCTTCTTGTCTCTTTGTGCCAGAAACCAGTAAGGAGGGTAACCCTTGTCTTTCTACCCTTCCTCTCACTGCATTGGAGCACATTAGCTTCTCCAAATCAAATAAATTAGCGTTCCAATAGGATTTATTAAATCATAGATTCCATGCAGAAATGAGGAAAATGAGATTTAAGAACCTGTAGGACTTTATTATTTTTTTCTTTTGGCTTTCTCATTTTTATTTGGATGCAATTTTCTTTCTAAGGTTTATAATTGATGTGTGCTAGGTAATTCACAGTTGTAGAGTATTAGTTTACCGTTTTAGTGTGGTACAAATATTCAACACATACTCAGAAGCGAGAAAATCAACTAGTAATAACATCCGAAATTTTTACGTGGAAAACCCGTAAAGGGAAAAACCACAGGTTTGACCTAGCTGAAGAGTTTCATTATAAATGATGATTATAAGTAGAAGTTTCTACGTGGAAAACCCGTAAAGGAAATGATGATTACAAGTACAACCCCTTGTCCTACATGCGGAAAGAAATAGAAAGACACCCAAGTTACAACGTTGACATAAGAATAAAATTTTTGCAAGGAACGGACAATAAATGATAATGATCAATGGCCCCTTGTCCTACATGCGAGAAAGAAATAGAAAGACACCAAAGTTACAACGTTGACATAAGAATAAAATTTTCGCAAGGAACGGACAATAAATGATAATGATCAATGGCGGCCGGGAGGTGATGATCGACAATAGTCAATAGTGGTTGATGGTTGTCGTCGGCGACAAACAATGCTCGGTGGCGACGGACAGTGCTCGACAACAATCGACGGTGGTCAATGGTGATCGACAATGGTCGACGGTGGAAGAAGTGCTCGACGGCGGTTGCAGTTGTTGATGACGGCTAGCAGTGGTCGATGACGGTACAAGTGTTGGTGGACTTCAGCTCCTTAAAGTTTGAAGCTCTTCCTCAAGCCTCAAGCTCTCCTTAGACTTTAGCACCCTTCCCCCCTCATGAAAGGGGTATGACTTTATTTATAGAGTTCTAGATGCAATTAATGTAAGAATATCACTTTGATCAGACGACTCAAAGGACTTCTCTCAATTAGACGGTATTTCATGGACATTTGAGCGTTTTAATGATGTGGGAATTGAGTGATCTTGGGCTCATTGATTCTTCTTGTCAAGACGCTCGATTTGACTTAGACTCCTCCGTATTGACATTCCATTAACCTTTCAAATGTGTCCAGAAATCTTTCTAAAGTAGTTCAATGACTTGATCTGGGCTTGATTTAGTTCGGATTTGATCATTTTTGGTAACATTGGTTCTTCCCAACTATGTCAGTTTGACTGTAAGTTTACTGAAATCGGAACTCCAGATGACTTTTTATCGATGTTTGAATATTTATTGCTCAAAAAATTACATCGAGATTCGTGCGATCCCTCATGATTCTTGTTGGATGATAGAAATCTGTTGATGGCGTACAAATTATGGGGAGTCATATTCTTACAAAAAAATACCTATTAGAATGTATTAGTCATTTTCTAAAAAAATGTAGGGGAAAGGGTTGACACCCAATAGTGACAAGCTTCGTGAGGGCGCATAATGATCATAAATGGCCTATGGGATGTTTCAGTACCTGACATTGGCAAGTTCTGCGAGGGATATAAAAAGGATTGTCTTGAGCCCTAGCTATAACATTCATGCACAACAACGACATGCTCTGAGAGGGGTGTGAAAACGATCATCACCCTACAACAACAGGCTCTGAGAGGGGTGTGAAAACAATCATCGCCCGCGATGAGCGTGCGACAATCACCCATAAGAAATAAATCAAACCATTTCTAGCACACATATACATATATACACCTATACCTTCCAACATATCATGACCGAACAAAAATTGCTCATGAATTTGAAAAAAATCGTTAGAATAAAGAAAAAAAAAATTAAAGTGTCAAAGCCCTCGGCTCGAAAAACTCCTTGCTTTATCAAGTTTGTTTACAAAGCCCAAATCACAATTTTTTTTTACGAACACGTGTAATCACCAAATTGAAGGAAAACAAAAAGAGAACACCACATCGCTATACGTTCTCATATTCTTCGACACCCTCTTCACATTCTCTTGTCCCCCACCGTGGGGTGAATTCTCCTCCATTCTCTGGGCGGCAGTGCCCAATTCCATTGTACCATGCCCCATGGCTCCCTGTTCCACAACAAACTATTTGACGGTGTCTGATCCCTCGCAATGATTTGATTAACAACAGCCGCGTGTCCTCAGTCGGTATCTGACGAGATAGAATCGAAATTAGAACTCTGATAATCGCAACAAAAACCAAAAGGCATGATTCAAGATACATACCCAAAATTCTTTTCTAGTTAGATGTAGTGTAAGAAACATGATCCTCTCCAGTCTCCTTTAGCCCTACATCAGAGGAAAAACCCACCTTCACCAAGTTTGCGGCTTCTTCCCCACCCTCTTCT